CTCCCACTGACCCACCTGCTGTGGGTGTATCGTCACGTAACGTCACCACGAGCGTCTTCAGTCAAGTGCTGTACTGTATGGTCGAGCTGGGCGGCACTATGGTACCGAAGTCCCCGCAGCACTCCTCGTGAGTAGTTGTGGATGAGATAGTAAATGCAGGGACTAGATGCATCACCCGAGTGTTCATCGAACGCATTGGCTAGCAAGTTCCCAGGCGCCGCAGTCGCCGCGAGGTCGGATGGGATTGCGCCGTCTCGACTCGGGCATCTGTCTGCCCTCTTATGGCAACCACGCCCTCTAGTAGGTTGTGGCGGCGAAGAGCACGCAATACTTTATCTACCTTGATCACATTCACTGACAAGGTCGTCACTCCCCGGAGTCTCTCGGACAAGACACATTCTGCTCACACGCTATTAGCCCAATGGCTTCGGAAACACCACTGAAAGTTGAGGTTGTGCTCGTTGGTGGCGCGTCAGTAGGAAAGAGCGCCTTGATCACACGCCTGTGTGACAGACAGTGGCGGCCGGAGCATCTCACCCCGACCATAGGGTCTGACTATCGAGTATGTACCGTCAGTTTGTTGATCGCAGGGAAGGGATACTAGAGCATTTCACATGCAGACGCATACGAGACACGTGGATGGGGTGATGGTGAAACTGAAGATATGGGTAGGAGGGCATACAGCATCTTTTTCCTTGGATGCACATAACTTGCATCTTGAATAGGATACAACAGGCATGGAACGCTTTCGCGCGATCACGCCGTCATTTTATCGCCGCGCGCAAGGAATCATTATTGGTGAGCGAATGTCAGAAGACTGTCGCCGTGGTACCAATCGACAATGACTCTACATTCAGTCTTTGATATTTCGAGGCGGAACACATTTGATGAGCTTCCTAACCACCTAAGAGAGATAGAGAAATATGCAGCTCCTGAAGCCATCAAAATCATCGTCGGCAATAAGTTGGATATGGTACGCACCCCTTTTGGCCTTGCTGAACTACGGGTCATGGCACCCGAACTGACTAGGCAAGACAGAAAGCCTCTCGTGAGGTGCCAAAAGTAGAGGCGGCCATATTTGCTGATGTCAACGACTGCCTGTACGCAGAAGCATCAGCGAAGACGCCTGAAGGGGTTACCACTATGTTCGACATTGTGACCCGGTGCATCATCGGCACGCCGAGGCTGTGGAGCGAGAAGTTTACAGGGAAGACTGAGGTGAAGTTGGAAACCCCGCCAAGTGATAAGAAGGGTTGTATGTGCTAGCCGTGATACCCTGGGTGGCATATGGTCCAGTACGATGTAGCCTGTTTGAGGTCGTACCGCATTGAGATTTCAAATTGTCCACGGGGAGCAACGGATGGCCCAGATCCAGGATCTCGGACGCGCCGAGGCGACGTAGGGAAAAGGTAAGTCGTGGTTGTTAGTCGTGATTGCACAGTGGGAAGCTGTATCGGACACGATGAGTTTTGACAAGCCGCAGCCATGAGGCACTGACCTGTCACCGGTGCAGACTGCGGACAGTCGAGGCGTGACTGCTTAACGAAACACCAACGGGGCGAGCAAATTTTGCGACCTACCGTGCTCCATGCCATATCGAATCAGGAGGGGAGAACTGTGAAACGGATCTTTGGAGGGGCCAGTGGACAAAGACCTTGATACAAACATAACACCTTCGTGGCTTCGGTGGAACCTGGTGGACCCATGGAAAACATACACAGGTTTCTTCTCGAAACAGATTCCCGATGCTGAGTCTAAACACCCCCGCTGGTGCACTCAAATAGGACAGCCGCTGCTAGGCTCGGGCAAGGCGGAGTACAGGTCAATATGATGGTGGCTGCCCTCGAAATGTTCAGTCAAAAAGCGTGTTCGGCCGCTTGGAGTGCAGTTTGAATATAATGACATGGTACCTGGTGGCAGAGGAAAATGTGATGCCGATTTTGAGCGTCCGAGTTGCCCGTATCGCAAACAGGTCAAATCAAGGTTCGGCTTCTCGGCATGCGGAAACTTCCCACCATCTGCTTTTCCGGTGTCTCCTCGGACGATGACGGTCACTCAGGCCCATGTGTATGGACAGTTCCTGCTGCGCCGCGCCCCCCAGCTCAATGCCCAGCTTGGGTCTTATTCCGCCTATCAGACATGTTTTCCTGTCATTTCCGACTCGGGACCAAGCCTTTTGATGCAACGAAATCTCTCTACAACCAAACGGGGAAACCTGCGACTGGCACGCTCGTTTCAGCCTCTGCAAACTCGATGCCTCTGTCTTTCGTGACGTAGGTATAGGCTCTGAGCCGAATACGGAAGTCCTGCTCCCTTTGCTGCACTTTCATCCGAGTCGGGCCCAGCCAAGATCATACCATAGGGAGGCATACAACGACTACCCGTGCTGTGTTCACGGCGACAAGATAAGGGCGTGAGTAGCAGATCTTCTTTTCATGTGAATGGTGTGGGTGACAGCACCATAGATAGGATATAACCAGACTTATTCGGTACTACAGGACATGCTGAATGCTGACGCACATCAGCTGTCGCTACTGGGTGTATCCGTGCATAGCCCAATACACTTTGATCACCTATATTCAGAAGGTCGCCCGAGCACATACCCGGGCATGCATGCGTCTGCATGAGGCACTATAAAAACTTGCGCAGCGTGGGTTTTCAGCAATGTTTGGCTTGGGATCTGCGGCTGTAACGTGAACTCATGGAGGAAAGTGGCGAGTCGGCAGCACAACGCCTATGACTCGCTGGCAGCTGCGGGCGGAAATAGTTGGCGCCATGCCGGGCGGCTACAGAGGCTACCGGATTCTGGATGCTATCGAGTGCCACGCCTTGCCTCTCGAGTCTTCAGAATTTTGGAGGTCTTCTTGCCTTGGCTCAGAGCTGGCGGATTGCAGTGCGTAGGCGCGCGTAGCCTCTATACCCTATTTGTATACTCAAACACTCCGTGCCTCGCAAGGACTTTGAGGTGGAGTCTCTGGTTCAACGCTCCATCAGCATTCTCTGGCTGGCACAGTCCACGTTGCCACCTCAGCCTCCTCTCACAGACCTAAACATTGAAAGTCTCGACCAGCTTCATGGTAGTGCCGTGGTTACCTGTCCGGTACATCGTCAGCGAATGCTTCCGCTACTTGTCTCTTCAAGTATTTTTTCACGAGTGCCACTAGAGCAGAATCACGTTGGTAGCCACTCGGCCTCCCCCGATGCCGGCGCGGGCTACTCGCAAGCGATCAGAGTCTGGTACCGCCAACATGGGCGTCCTTGAATGCTTGTTTTTGGAGCCGCCGGCCATCACGAAGTAGAAGCCTGTGCTTGGGGCTTCTGCCAGCGCCACGGTTTTACCTTGTTAATGGTGAGGTCGTTTCTCTCATCAGTGTGCATAGTCTACCCTCGTGGCGCCTTCTTGTATCACGAGCCTGATTCTGTGCTTTCCACCGAATCCAGTGTGCACGACTTCGAGCTTCTCGATGTGCTTCTATCGCATGACTGTCCACCTCAAACTCCGGCCCCGTCTGTTTTCGGGCGTCAACTCGCTTTGTCAACTCGCTTTAGGCTTGTGAGGTTTGGCTGAATTGGCGCGGGGGCCCCTGACGATCTCTGGAGGATTATGTCATCCCGATGGGTGGGAATTCATGCGCGCCTTTTCCCGTTTCAACGCCTCGGACGGCCGATTCGGAAGCCTCCGCTCGCGCAAGCTCACGCTGTAGGTGCTTACTCTCAGCATCTCTGCAGCATATTTATGATGGGCCATCCGCTCATCCTCTTCACCATTCCTGCAGCCGCAGTCAACACTCACATCCACACCTCTCTCCCCACCTCCTCACCGCTCAATGCCGGCGCAGATCATGTCGCAGCAGGAGTTGCACGTCAAGGTTGTCATGGTTGGCAACTCGTCTGTCGGGAAGAGCAGCCTTCTCCTTCGCTGGGCTGAGCACCAGTGGTTGCCTGAGGACGAAGCCACTGCAACGATCGGCGTCGAGGTTCGGGTAAGCTCACCGACTTGATCTATCTACGCGATACGACGCTGAACGTACTTCTAGAGGCGCAAGCTCGACGTAAAAGGCGAAAATGTGAATTTGGCTGTCTGGGTGAGTACCTGTCATTGTTGCAGCATAACAACGTATACTTATGAGTTGATAGGATACCGCAGGCGAAGAGCAGTTCCGAACCATGCAGCCCGCACACTATAAGGGAGCTCAAGGCATCATATTAGGTTTGTGCCTCTGGGCCCTGCAAATGAACCCAAAACTTACCCCAGTTTCGCAGTCTACGATGCATCATGCCGTCGATCTTTTGAAGAACTTGCACGATGGTTCGCGGAGATAAAGACTTACATCACCGGACCAGTCGTGAAGGTCATCGTGGGCAACAAGGTTGACAAGGTGAGATATCTCATCAGCAGCGTGGATGCCTCATACTTACTTGGTTCCATCTAGGAATTCCAACGCCAGGTGCCCACGGCTGAGGCTGCTGCGTTCGCGCAGAAGATGGGGTGTCACTTCGTTGAATCGTCCGCGAAGACAGCTGTCGGCGTACGCAAGACATTCCGCGACGTGGTCGAGCGCATTGTCGACACTCCCGAACTTCGTGTCGTCTTCAAGCCCAGTCCTCCGCAAGCATCCTTTGCGCGGCCGCGCGCCCCCAGCTACCGCGGCTATTAAAAGCCTCTAGAGGGACCATCATTCAGGCATTGTGAAAATATAGGCGTGGCCGGGAATCAGGCTTAATATGTAACCCCGTTCGCAGCCCACCAGTGGACGGTAGTAGAAGAATAACTTACTGTTTCATTAGTATACCATTTTCTCCCGGGTACCCAATGTGTCGAACACTGCAGCGCATATACCTCGTGCTACCATCTTTAGGGTGATTGTCAATTTTCAGATGTACGAGTTTTCAAATAGTCAGTCGGGTTGAATCACTGTTGGAAGGCGTGACTTGCGTCTACGATTGTTATCTAGTGGCGTTCCCTTGCAGCTGTGTCATAAAAGGGGAGAGACAAAAAATGCCAGGACCGTGGATTGAACACGGGACCTCCAGAAGGCAGGAACGAATCGTCCAACTTCAGTCTGTTGCTCTCCCAGCTGAGCTATCCCGGCTTGCTGTCACGTGCAATCTACAACGTTCTGTGGCGTCTCTGATCAACCACACCGGCTCTTACATCAGCAGTCCCAACTTTCGTTCTGTTGTCACGGACATCCTGGCAAAGCTTTAGTTCCGTGCCAGACCGCCGTCTTCCTCGCCTCTGAACCGCTGGTTCTATGATATACTTGGGGAAAGTTCTTCTCCTGCGTCACTGTTCCGGTCGTAATGGACCTTGATGAGCTCAGAGAACTGCTGCTGAAACCGGAGCATACCGATGAAGAACAAGAGAAGATCCTTGGTGAGTCCAATACTTCCAGTGGTAAGACAAAGACTTGATTATCTCAACATCTCAGGTCTCATCGATCTCACAATCCCGCGCGGTGCAGTCCACGGAGAGCCCTCCCTAGATGCCCTTCTATATGCTGCTCAGGGCATACTCTATCCGACTCTTTCCTTCGACCATATTCCTGAGCTACTCGACATCTTAACCCAAATCGAGCGCACACGAGGATTTTATAGAGAACACGCTAAATGGACCCTAATCTGGCAGAGATTCTACGAGATGCGTCCTGATCCCAAAGTACGCGTTTTGCGAAAGGTTGATAAAGAGGCAATCAAGAAGCTGCTCAAACCTCAACGGCTCGACAAGACCCGCGCTCTTTTCACAAATATACTGGAAAATGCAATTCGTGTGGTGCGTTCCTGTGCTTTACTACGTTGACGGGGCATTGGGCTGATTGAACAAGCATGTGCTACACCTTTGGACACATGCGGAGCACTCCTATCGCTTGCACCATTACCTCCGAATATACTTCCCTTGGGCCCATGGGAGGAACGACAGTCAAAGATTATACCACACTTTCTTAAGCCCAGAGGAAGAAGGTCGCCTTGCCGACGTCGCAGTATCCTGCTTCCAGTTCTTGCGCGATGCTAAACTTTGGGAAGAGCGGCGCCTTCGCGAACTCGACGTCCCGGTGTATGTCTTTCGCTGTGGCGACTCGTTCATGGGCTGACCAGTTCAGTCTTCCTGATTCGTACTACGGTCCCGACGGTGGTTTTCAGTCTCTGAAGTTTCGATTTTTGGGAGAACTCGAAGTCCCGGACGTTGCGGAGTCCATCTCGCTGTACATCAAGAAAGTGGTAGCGATGGCCCAGAAGCTTGAAGACGTATTGGCTCGTCACCAGCCTTGACTCTGATCAGCCTTTCTATCTGGCATTGGTATTCCGTGAGCCAACCGCTGTTTGCATCGGCGCTCCGTTTCTCACGAAGAGTACTAGGGAAACAGCAAACATTTTTGGCGACTGGCCCTCACTCGTGATTCTATTGACCTGCGGAACCGCCAGACTCTCGACTCATCGGTTCGTCACGACTCACTACGCGTGCTCATGCGCCACCTTTACCTACTTGGCCGCTCTTATCAAGCCGGCGCCTACCCATCCTCATGATATCTCCCCTGTGCTAAATCCCGCGGAGGAACTGGACCCGAGTTCGTCATGCCTTCTACATTTTTCCACCAACCATAAGCTTGGAGCTCGTCTTACAGGATCCGGTATCCGTTGTCCGCGTTCGGAGCCATGCAAATCGATAACATTTGCCGCGGCGCGTCATTACATTCCTCGGCTCTACTCGCACACGAGTCGCAGATTTCCCATTCCGGAGGCGGTCGCACACCGCAAACTCCGTGATGACTTCCCTCAAGGTGATAAGCACTCTTCAACTACCTCTTTCAAGAACGAGACACCCCACGTTGCCTAGGCGTTTCTGCACTGTCTCTGGCTTACGGGAAAACCTCGATCGCCCCAACGTTCCCTGTCATTGGTAGTTTCCGAAGTCTGCACGCGGGTGGGGATCGTTTTACGAGCTCGAAACTCTCCATAACATCCTCACGTCACCACGTAGGGGGTGAGTCCCTAGCTAGGGCTTGCATGAGCATGGCACGCAGTCGCCTTGTCGCCTTCCAGGAGTTAACGCACCACTTGCTATCAAGCCATGTGTTTCTCGCGTGCCGAGCACGTGTGGTCCTTCCGTCTAATGTCCTCATATACATCAAATCATTATTGTATCTCCCCTTGGATGCACGGGGTGGGGGTTTCAGCGTCGCGCTTTACTTCCGCTAGCAGAAATCGCATCAGTGAACGATTCATTTGACAATTATCCCCGTCAATGGTCGCGTTCAGCTCTTGGTCAAGACCAGCGGTTTGGGCGGCTATCTACATGCACGCCCCTGGCTGGTTATTGCTAATATCTTTATGCTTTCCAAGTCTCCGAGGCAGGCTTCGACGCCCGAGCCTCCGCTAGTGGTGTCGATCCTTTACGCGAAACTCCGACCGACCTAGAACCCCACTCTTGCGGACTTACTCTGGCCTTGCGTTATCTTCTGACGCAATCTGCATTGGCGCCCTCCTCGGTCACGTTCTGCCTCTTCGGTAGTTAACATGTTTCACTGACCGTCGGCCCTGCCGAATCGGAGATAGCACCCTCGAGGACTCGTGTTTTATGTTGACTTCTCTGTGAGTATTTAACTACCGTATGGTCCTCCACAAGGTACCATCAGCTTCCGACCACTCATTCACTACACCACACCACACACTCGTACCAACATGCCAGCGAAGTTGACCAGTAGTCCCAATGAACCGATCAACGTCAAATTGTTGATGATTGGAGTTGCGTCCGTCGGAAAGAGCAGCCTGCTCTTGCGCTTTACAGACCAGCAGTGGTTGCCAGAGCACGAGGCCATGGCAACAATTGGCGTTGATACTTGGGTACGTGCCAGCTTAAGCTTTCTAATGTACGCCACAAAACCGACTCGCTTTTCTAGTCACATAAACTTGATGTGAAAGGCAAGAAAGTGAACCTTAGCATCTGGGTATGCTCCCTTACGGCCTCGAGTGTACGCCTTGCATTGACGACCTTTGGATAGGATACGGCTGGCCAGGAGCGGTTCCGTGCAATCATTTCTTCGTATTATCGCGGAACTCAGGGCATACTGTTGGGTACGTCCCCACATCATCGCCGACATTAATTGCATTCACCTCTGACTCGTACCACTCCCAAAGTTTACGATATAACCAATCGTGAGTCGTTTGAGGCGCTTCCTTGGTGGTTCGCGGAGCGTAGCAAATACGTTCCTGACTCCGCAGTGAAGATCGTTGTGGGAACTAAGGCAGACAAGGTACGCCCCAGCTTATCACATGCTCCACTTATCATTCCTAATCGCGCAACGTAGGAGCATGCGCGACAAGTATCTACTGCGGAAGCAGCCGCATATGCCGCACGTATGGGCTGTCTTTTTGTCGAAGCCTCTGCAAAGACAGCTGTTGGTGTGCGCGAGACTTTCCGCGATGTTCTGGAGCGCATCGTCGATACCCCCGAGCTGTGGGCGTCACAGAAGCCCAAGTCTCCGCTTCCGAAGGCGCCGAGCCCTACTTACGGAGCGGAGATGAAGCTGAAGAGTGATGCGCTCACCGATCAACGAGAGTGGGTTCAAGGCATCGGCGGATTCGTCTTCACCCGCAACATGTTTTGACGCTAGTGAGCTGCGGTTATACCCTCAAAAAAAATCTGACCGAAGCTCTATACAATACTGTACATGATACTAATACCGTTACTGTAACTATACGCACTACTTGAATATACCATAATCGGCTCCTTGTTCAAACCATCCGAATGCCGACCGATCGGGCCGTGCAGCAACCGTGCAGTGCCAAGGTGTTGCATTACATAATCGCTGCGCATCTCGGGACCCGGCCCATGGGTTCTGACCGACTTAGCGAGCGCGAGTCCTCGCTCACTCTGCCGCTCATTGGTTCCTTGTATCCATGGTCACAGGCTCCGATCTGCTGCCGATCGCAGACGAGAGGGAGAACACACGCCGCATCATATATCCTTCAGCTAATACTCCTGCCTGTAATCGAAATACGGTGTTTTCTCTTCTGACCCAAGGCCCAAGGTTCTGAGATGCCTCAAGTGACGGCGGCACGAAGTCGGCGGTCAGAGTGAAAGCTGACGAGAACTTTCTCTCTCAGGGGAGTGTCCGGGTCTATTGGTACGCGCAGAACTATGTTTTTCGTCGTGTATCGCACTCATGGTTTCTCTGGGATAGAACGGGTTCGACATAACGAAAACGGCATTGTCAATCGACGCCCGCAACACCTTCGATGTTCCCTCGAGTTGTTTCTCCGAGCCTCCATTGAAACGGAAGGTCGAAAACCTCGGATTTTTGGCTTTATCTTAACCTGCCGCCATCCTTCCGAGACGCCAAGACACTTCGAGGTCCCGAGTAATGTCATATCAATCTCTGAGGCGTCGCATTACCGATGTGGGCTCAGACTGGCGCGCGGCGGCCACAACTCGGATGCCTAGACTGTTTCTTGAAAGCCTCAGACTTCCGATGGGATACTCCGCAACTCGGCTACTCACCCCGGGTCCGCTCTGTTGTCGTAGCGAGAGCATGACTTCATTCACGGACTTCAAAGAACTCGCTCTCAAACTTCCCGGCTTTGGAATACCTCAATGACAAAGCGATCTGCTTGTGAGTCGTTGACTATCGCATTGCCTTGCTTGCAAGGTGCTCTTCCCCCCCACAATGTTACGGGCGCCTAGTGGTAAGATGACGGATGATTATGTAAACGAATCCGAACACGGTCTCCCACCTCTGGCATGACGGTACTTACCCCCTCTCCATTTTTCATGCTCGAACTTCGAAAAGACAACATGCATGTTATAGCACAAACACAAATACAAACACAAGCACACTTGCAAGCAAAGGCACCTGCCGCCGCAGGCGGCCCTTCTCGAGTTCTCGCTTTTCGTTGAAAATACTGGTACAGTGGATGCGTTGGTCTTAGCCACTCAAACGGTCCGGATTCCGACTTCATCTCGTGATCACGTGATCGCGTCGCGTTATTTGCTGCTTTATTTGTCCTCTCGAACATGGTCAGCCCCCGCAGTCTGGGGTCTATTCTACGCACCACCCACCCACCCGCCAAGGTCGAACAGAGATGCCCTTGACCA